AACCTTACAAATGTAAGGAATGTGGTAGATCCTTTAACCAGCAGGCATACCTTAGTCGACATCACAGAATTCATACTGGAGAGAAGCCTTACAAATGTCAAGAATGTGGCAAGGCCTTTAATGAGCGCTCATACCTTGATCAACATCACAGAATTCATACTGGAGAAAAGCCTTACATATGTCAAGAATGTGACAAGGCCTTTTCACAGAAGTCATTGCTTAGTAAACATCACCGAATTCATACTGGAGAGAAACCTTACAAATGCAAGGAATGTGGCAAGGCCTTTACACAGCGCTCAGTCCTTACTCGACATCACAGAGTTCATACTGGAGAGAAACCTTACAAATGTCAAGAATGTGACAAGGCCTTTAAGTGTCACTCAACCCTTAGTAATCATCTCAGATTTCATACTGGAGAGGAACCTTACAAATGTAAAGAATGTGGCAAGGCCTTTAACCAGCGTTCAGACCTTACCCGACATCACAGAGTTCATACTGGAGAGAGACCTTACAAATGTCAAGTATGTGGCAAGGCCTTTAAGTGTCACTCAAACCTTAGTAATCATCTCAGAATTCATACTGGAGAGAGACCTTACAAATGTCAAGAATGTGGCAAGGCCTTTCACCAGAGCTCATCGCTTACTGTACATCACAGAAATCATACTGGAGTAAAACCTTACAAATGTAAGGAATGTGGCAAGGCCTTTTCATTGCACTCAAACCTTCTTAAGCATCACAGAACTCATACTGGAGAGAAACCTTACAAATGCGAAGAATGTGGCAAGGCCTTTTACCGGCGCTCACATCTTAGCAAACATCATAGAAGTCATACTGGGAAGAAAGTTTAAAAATGTAAAGACTAGGAGTAAGGACTGTAAAACCCTTACATCACAGGCCTTTCATCCAATGTAACTGGAGAATAACTATATACATCTAAAGAAGTCCACCCTCTCTCTCCCTGAAACTCACAACATCATAGTTACCATATGGGAGCAACATGGTAAAATGTGATGAATGTGGTGAAACCTTTAACTGGAATTCAGTCTATACTCCGTGTCCCAATATGCACACTAGGTTCAAACCCTAGAAACATGATTGTGGAAAGACCCTCATTTTAATATACACGTTTGCAAACACAAAGTGCTAAAGAAGGTAAATTGAATCATACAAATAATTAGAAAACTCTCTGATTGGACATCTAATGTCAATAAATGTCACAGATATCACGTAAAAGGAGTGTATCAGTCCCCCTATTCAGACAGTACTGGTTAGTCCAAGGAAAAAGATCAAGTTAAACACTTGGAAAATGCATATGCTGTTATGTTGGAAAGATTCAGTGGGGGGGTTTTTACAAGGGTACAGTTAGTTTTGATGTGCTTTTTGTTATATTGAGCCTTTTTGAGGTTTGTGACCAACAAATATTAATGTACTTTATTCTCAAATCACTTCTGGAGATTGACTTACACGTACTGGGTGCATGAATCCGTGAGCCTGATTTTTGCTCCGTCAATGGCATTCGATGCCCTGCTGCACTTGGGGGGACTAACGCATCACAGATTTTCCTTGGAAGGTGAGAACTGTAATACACAACATGAATGAAGAAAATCTAAATGGAGACACTGCTTAGGGTTATAGCATTCATGCAAGTTGCCGTGAAATAGGTGTTCAGAACAATATTTTTCTCCATTTACTAAAACTAAAGAACTTCCTGAATATTAGACATACAAGGTTTTCCTGATTGCTCTCTAAGGAAAAAAAGGTGGCACACCAGTTAACTACTGATGTGTCTTCGTAATAGCGAACTTCAGAGAATAGGAGTGGATGCGATTGAAATGAAGAAATACTCCCCGATAACAAAGAGGTTATCTAACTCTTCCCTACCATGCCATATAGCTGGACATACACATCTGTTGCGACTGTCAGCAGCACTGGAACTTAAGGAGGTCACTTCCACATCATATCAACTATGGTGGTTAATGCTTGTTTTCTGTATTTTGAACAAGTGTAACAGTGGATTTGAAATGCATAACATAGTCTATGTGTGAACTTAATGTACTTCAGTTAATCAAACATAATGGTTTTTAATATGTTAACATGAATTTCTGATGAGTTTTGTGTTATCCTACCACCAAGGTAAACCTATCATTTTTCTTTTTTTTGACAGGGAACACAAGCAGGGGGAGAGAGAGAGGGAGAAGGAGGTTCCTCACTGAGTAGGGAGCCTGATGCAGGGCTAGATCCCAGGACTGGGGCCATGACCTGAGCTGAAGGCAGATGCTTAACGACTGAGCCACCCAGGTGGCCCCTATGTCATTTTACTGAAAGTTGTACGCACCTGGTCTTATCTGTCACCTATTTGGTAATGGAAGGGAATAATATTCTTATGAATCCATTCTCTCAGTGATCTTAAGGTTGAAATGATGGGTGATTTCCCCGCCTAGTTTATTTACTGTATCATTTTCTCCTCCTTGTGCTGACTGTGATATTACAGATATATTACAGGTTTTGTGGGGGGTATTGTTGACATTTTAGCTCACCTGATCCATGGTGCTGCTACTTGCCATCCACTTTGTGTACTCAGCACTTTTGCAGGGACCTGCCATGTTCACTAGTGTGTTCCCTATGATGTGGTTTTGGAATATAGGGGAGGTTCCGTGGGTTGGAGTCTGGAGCCTATGACTAAGAAAGAATTTTTTTTTTAATGTAGATTTTTTTAAAAGATTTTATTTATTTGACAGACAGAGATCACAAGTAGGCAGAGAGGCAGGCAGAGAGAGAGGAGGAAGCAGGCTCCCTGCTGAGCAGAGAGCCCGATGTGGGGCTCTATCCCAGGACCCTGGGATCATGACCAGAGCTGAAGGCAGAGGCTTTAACCCACTGAGCCACCCAGGCGCCCCCCAAGGAAGAATTTTTGAGATGTCTTTGCTGCAAAATGGTGGTTTATTAAAGTACGGGGACAGGACTCGTGGGCAGAAAGCGCTGTTGCCCTGGGTTGTGAGGCATGGCTGATTCTATACTATGGGCTTGGGGGAGGTAAGGGAAAAGGGAGGTTTTGAGAAAGAACTTTCATATATTAAAGAAGATTCAGGGGCTCCTGGAGGCCTTGCTGTTGTCAAGGTTGTTTGCCCTCTTGTAAGGCATTAATGGTAAGGTCATTGGGATATTCCAGAAGCAGTAGGACATTCCTCCTATTGAACCCCGTCCTTTTTAGTAGGCTGCAGGTTTAAAACAAATTCGGTTTTATTTGCATTTCCTTCTGCCTCAACCTCCCTCAATTTTAGGAAGAAGAGGGTGATGGTAGGGCTTCAGGAATCTGAGTTATGGGTCGCTGGAAGTTCGGTTGTAGATATAAGAAAGCTGCTTCCTTGTAAATCACTAGGACATTTGGAAACTGAGGAATACTCAGGTCTTGCAGGATTGTGATCTCTGCAAGGTAACTATGTGCTTCTCCTTTAGGGCAGCCAGGAGTGCCTGAGGAATGTCCCATATATCCCATGGGGGGTGGGGGTTCATGGGGTGTCAGCTTCTGCTTCGTCCTCAGCTTGCCTTCTGTTCTCTCATCACCTAGACAACACTCTGTAGAGTCACAAGCTAATGTAACTTGAGACATGACGATCAGATCCACCTCTGTGGGCAATCCTCGGTCCCTTTTCCCAAGCATTTCCCATCCTGTGTTCTCCTAGAGAAGATGCCCACAGAACTTACTTAAGCTGGCTTTAGTTTGAATGGCCAAATGTGGACTTGAACTGGGACTCTCAAGCACTCCACCATGACCCATAATAAAGGTATGTTCTCCATTTATTGGTGGGGGTGTTGGTTTGAATCACGTGCCCATGTGACTATACAGCACAGGTCATCGATAACCCGGAAGTAGGAGAAACCTCCCAAATGGAGTGACACTGTAGCTCAGGTCACAGATCGAAAATACATAAAATGAGAAAATGAGCATGTAGACTGCAAATGTCTCAATTTGCACAATGGACTCCATGGATTTAGAAAAAGAATTTCTATTTGTTTTATTTCCTAGTTATCTCCAGATTTATAGCTATATTTTTGCTCATTTTTTTCCCCCAGCTAATAGGCATCACAAACTTTTTTTTTTTGCCTGGGTTGTGCACTAAACACTTGAGATTAGAGAGCTGGACGCCAATGGGTATGTATTCAGACATTAAACCCTGGGATGTGGCATGTGAATCTATGTAGAACTTGATGAAATCACCATCCTTAGAAGCATAATCCCTATTAAAAGAAAATGTAAAAATTGCATCTACTGTGGGTAGGGGCCCGGCGGTGGCTCTCTTCAGTCACTGCAAAGGCAAAGGCAGGTCTTGGTGGTGTCATGTGATGAATACATGTAATGGGAGAAAGGAATTGGCAAATGTGGGTTTCTGAGGAGTAGGGAAGTCCTACTTTATCTTCATGATTTAACTGAATTCCTCTTTGTTACTGATGATCGGATGCTGTCGGATCATATTTACCAAAATTGCCCAAACCTAATTCGGTAGCACCGGATAAAGAGGGATATTGGTGATGCGGTCATGTGGGCATAGCTTTCAAAAGTCACGTGGTAGAGTAGCTGTTGGCGATGAAGGAGCCTTCTGGACAGTGAGATAGGCAGGATCAGCAAGGTGTGTGCTGTGGTTGAACCCAAGCACTGCTCTCCCAGGGATAAAAGCCCAATCAAGATTTGAGCCACTGTAGATGGGGGGCCTTTCAGGGACGCTGCTGCAGTGCATTGTGGGAACTTCCTGTCCGTACTCAGTGCCATGTTCAATACCCTCCCCCCCTCTGGCTCTGTCTGCTGTAGTTTTGGAATATAGGTGAGCTTCAGTGGGCTGGAGTCTGGAGCCGATGACCAAGAAAAAATTCTTGAGGCATCTTTGGTGCAAAATGTTTTATTAAAGCATGGGGAGAGGAGGAGGGCAGAAAGAGTTGCTGCCACCAGGGTCATGAAGGGGTGGCCAATTTTATACTATGGGGTTGGGGAAAGGTGAGGAATAAGGGAGTTTTCAAAATGATTTTCATATGTTGAAGACTCACAGGATACTAGAGCCTTGCCATTGTGTAGTTAAGGTTGTTTTTCCCTCTTAGGAAGGCATTACCGTGAAGATAGTGGGGAGTTTTCTGGAGGAACATTACATTTTGCCCTCTTCAAGCATCTGTCAATGGGCTGCAGACTCTAAGGTCACTTAAACGTATGTACATTCCCTCTGGAAGCTTGGTAATTGATAGAAGTGCTTTGTTTTTGTAAATTTCTAGGACATTTGTAGAACAGAGGGACACCCATATCTTACAGGATTGTGATCTCCCTAAGTTAACTATTTGTTTTTTCCTTCAGCCAGGAGCCCCTGAGGAATGTCACATGCATCCCATGGAGGGGGAGGTGAGGGTGTCAGCTTCTGCTTTGTCCTCAGCTTGCCTTCTGGTCCCTCATCATGTCCATGACATGGATTTGTTGGAGGAACAGTTCAACATGGGATATTAATCTGCCTACAAAGGAATGTAATGCTGCCATTTGCCACAACATGGGTGAACTAGAGAGTATTATGCTAAGTGAAATAAGTCATAGAAAGACAAATACCGGATGATTTCACTCCTATGTAGATTGCAACAAACAAAACAAGTGAGCAACGAGAAAGAGAACAAGAAAGGGAGAGACAAAGTTAGAAACAGACTCTTAACTATAGCCAGCAGGCTGGTGGTTGCCAGAACAGAGGTGGGAAGGCAGATGTGTTAAATGAGTGATGGGATAAGGAGTGCACCTGCGAGGCGAACTGGGTGTTGTATGGAACTGTACACTCTTGTACTCCTGAAAGGAATATTACCTTGTATGTTAACTACGAGGACTGTAAAGAAAAACCTTTAAAAAAATGCTTTTTACAGAGAGGAGAAACTTTGTGTCTTAGGTCACCAAAATGTACTTTTGGAAAGAAATTGAAATATTTATCCTTTCTCCCTTGCTGATGGTATCAAATTTGGAGACTCCTTTTGACTATTCTTATTTATATATAGTTTTTAAAGGTTTAATTTATTTATTTGACAGAGATCACAAGGGAGGCAGGCAGAGAGAGAGGAAGAAGCAGGCTCTCTGCCCTGCAGAGATGCAGGGCTCCATCCCAGGACCCTGAGATCATGACCTGAGTGGAAGGCAGACGCCCTAACCCACTGAGCCACCCAGGCGCCCTGACTATTCTTATATTTTTCAGCCAACATGTATATATATTTGCATAATT